CCCCAAAACCCCAAAACCCCAAAACCCCATAGAATAGAGTATGTTTGAGTAAGATGATTAGGCAATCTAATTAGTTATCAATATTAACAATAATCACTCCATAAGCATATTTATTGAGGTTGAGTTAACCTTGAGTATCGTTCTAACTAGAATCATTGATCTTGGAAATGCTTTTTAGTTAACTTTTATTTAAGAATTTGTTCTTCATAGTCTTTCTGCTCAATGTCGGACATCTTCTTGGAACTGTAAAATCCATTCATCTTAGAGTACCATTCCTTTTCCTTAGTCATCATTTAGTCTGTGATCTACTTATACTCATCTCTCAAGCTCTTATCTGAAGGGGCTAGTTTAATAGCAGTTACTAATTGCTCTTTTGCCTCTTCAAGCTAGCCATTACCTTTGAAAGACATGGCTAATCTAAAGTATGCTTTGGGGTTTTCTTTGTTGTATTCAAGTGCTTCCTTGGCATGCTTGATAGAATCCTTGAAGTTGTTTCTTTTAAAGTGAGTTATAGATAGATTCAGGCTCAAGAGATGCAATGCCTCATCTCTTTTCTACTTCTATTCTTCAGTTAATGAATCTTTTAAAACTTTAGACATATTCTTGTATGAGGCATAAACTCTTGAGTAAAGATTTTGGGCGTTAGGGTACTCCCCATCATCCATTAATTCCTTGCAAATGCTCCTGATTTATCCGAGATATTCCTCTAGGCATTCAAAAGAATTAGAATTTGGGCACTGATTGTTCCTCTTTATGTTGTTTATTGAAAATTTGATGTAGACATCATCACCGATTTAAGCCTTTATTTCTTCTGGCTTATTTTAGAAATGAGTTGAAGAATGGTAGATTCCATTGTGAGAGGATTTAGGAAACTTTCCCCAAGCAATCTCTCCCTTCCTCATAGTTTTGAAAATAAGCTTGTAGAAGTCATGGAATCTGGAATCGCTCATCACGAATTTATCAATAGCATTTCTTTTCTCTGAAAAATCCACAAGTTGGCCATTGTCGAATCTTGTCTCATGCTTGTAGAATACTTCATCCTGCAATCCGATGAAACTACCCTTGCCATCCTCAATTACATATTTCACTATCTCATTATTCTCAGGAATTCTCTCCTCCCTAATAGGTGAGATAGATTTCAAGTCGAAAAACTCATCAATCGGTCTCTTTTGCTCAGTTGGCACAAAGTTTTTCCATTTGTTTTCCTCTCTTATTTTCTCTTTGGCTTCTTCAGAGAGCTGCTCCTCCTGTGAGAGCACTGAGTCTTCATTATGTTGAGTCTGATCATTCATAGCTACCTCTTAAGTTGAGGTATTAGCTCCTGTATTTTTATTATCCGTGATCAGAACTTCAGTCTATTGTTAGCTTTCATAGTCTTAACTTTAGGTTTATTGGACAATACTGTCTGAATTTTGATTCTCACTGATGATTTGTTGCTCTTCTTGCATACTTTGCATTTCCTTTAATTTACTTTATTAAATTACTATTAATTTTTCACTCCTTACTTTAAATATTTCAATGCTTGGGGTTTTGGGGTTTTGGGGTTTTGGGGTTTTGGGGTTTTGGGG